CAAAATGAAGGTGCTTCTAAGCAGGTAGAGTTTGAGGGAAAATTTATTTTTCCTACACAAGAAACAGAAGAGGAAACAAATGAAGATTATCCTCTGGAAGGAGAGCCAGTAAAGGAGATTCCAGCTCAGGAACCTTAACAACAACTTGAATCAATAGCAACCAGCAGGCCAAAAAGGACAATAACGAAACATATTCGTCTCATAGAGACGGTTGCTTGTGCAACCTCAATTATAGCTGATGATGTTCCGACCACTTATAAATACGCAGTCCAAAGTTCAGAAGAAGATAAGTGGAGGATTGCCGTGAATGATGAAATACAGTCCCTTCATCAGAATCATACATGGAGAATGGCCAATCTCCCGAAGGGAAAGAAAGCAATTGGGTGAAAATGGGTATTTGCAAAGAAGGAAGGATTTCCTAACCAAGTAGATGTTCGCTACAAAGCAAGATTGGTGGCCAAAGGATATGCTCAAAAGGAGGGAATTGATTACAATGAAGTGTTTTCTCCAGTTGTAAAACATTCCTCCATTAGAATTATGTTGGCTTTGGTAGCACAATTGGATTTGGAACTAGTTCAGATGGATGTAAAAACTGCGTTTTTACATGGAAACTTGGAGGAGGAAATCTACATGACTCAGCCAGAAGGATTCAAAGTTGCTGGAAAAGAAAATATGGTGTGCAAACTTGAAAAATCGTTGTACGGATTGAAACAATCTTCTAGACAATGGTACAAGCGATTTGACGAGTTTATGTTGCGGCAAGGGTACAAGAGAAGCAAATACGATCATTGTGTGTATTTGCACAAGCTTAAAGATGGTTCCTTTGTATATCTTCTCCTATATGTTGATGATATGTTGATAGCTTCCAAGAATTCGGAAGAAATTGATAAGTTGAAGATTTAACTGAAGAAGGAGTTCGAGATGAAGGATCTGGGTGAGGCAAAGAAAATTCTTGGCATGGAAATAATAAGAGATAGACTTTCAAAGAAACTCTATTTATCTCAAAAGGAATATTTGAAGAGAGTACTTCAACGTTTTGGCATAGATGACAAGACTAAGCCAGTTAGTACTCCACTTGCTTCCCATTTTAAGCTAAGTACTACTATGTCGCCAATGGATGAAGCTGAACGAGAGTATATGTCAAAGGTACCATACGCAAATGCTGTTGGTAGCTTGATGTATGCAATGGTTTGCACAAGGCCTGACATTTCACAAGCTGTTGGAGTTATTAGCAGATATATGCACAATCCAGGGAAGGAGCATTGGCAAGCTGTGAAGTGGATTCTACGGTATATTCATAATACTGTAGATGTCGGGTTAGTTTTTGAGCAGGAAGACAATCAGTCTGTAGTTGGATATTGTGACTCAGATTTTGCGGGTGATATGGACAAACGAAGATCAACTACTGGTTATGTGTTTACTTTTGCAAAGGCACCAGTTAGTTGGAAGTCTACTTTGCAGTCAACAGTTGCTTTGTCTACAACAGAGGCAGAGTACATGGCTATTACAGATGCTGTGAAAGAGGCAATTTGGCTTCAAGGATTGCTAAAGGAGCTTGGTGTTGAACAAAAAGGTATCACAATTTTTTGTGATAGTCAAAGTGCTATTCAATTAGCGAAGAACCAAGTTTATCATGCAAGGGCGAAGTACATTGATGTTCGGTATCATTTCGTACGAGAAATCATAGAAGAAGGTAGAGTCACGGTGAAGAAAATTCATACTACAGAGAATCCTGTTGATATGCTGACAAAAGTGGTAATTGCGGTCAAGTTTCAACATTGTTTGGATTTGATCAATATTGTTGAACACTGAATATTGAAGATGAAGACATAACTAAAATTTGTTATTGAGAGAGAATTGAAAATGTGGAATTTTGCCAAGGTGGAGATTTGTTGAAGTTTGGCAAAATGCCAAAGTCCCACATTGGTTGGGAGTTAAGTTTGGGGGGGATTTTTCCCCTATAAAAGAAGGCCTAATGTTTAGGATTGAAACACACCTCTCATTTGCCTTCTCATCTGTTTAAGGCATTTGTATCTTCTCTCTTTAGTATTATTTCACTTGTATTTTTGGAGTGGAATAAAATATTGGTTGTGTCCGAGGAGTAGGCAAAATTGGCTGAACCTCGTAAATTCAGGTGTTTCTTTTATTATTGCTTTATTGTCTTATTTATTATTTGGTGGTTGTCATAATTTTTGGTATAGTAGTTGTGACTTATTCACCCTAGATACATTTGGCTTTCGCAACAGTTTGGAGGGTGCATAAAAATAATACTAAATATGGTGTATTAATGATGCTGAGATTAATTATGATGATATTATTTCTTATCGACTATTTGGTTTGGTGTATTAAAGGGTTAAAAAGGGAAATTTTGTATGTATACACGCTTATCCATGAATTAAGCAAACTTTTCACCATTTCAAAAATCTCGGTCACGCCATATGCGGAACCAAGGGGGCTAGAACACCGGTTATGGTTTCGACCGAGCCTAATAACTTTTATCCAAACTCTATGTTTGTTTTAAGAAATTATTGAATATGTACAAATTATTAATTTAGAATCTAGTAACCTAAATAGAGTAGAATCTCGAACCCATAAACTTCAAATTCTAATTCCGTCTCAACGCGTAACAATTACAAAATGCTGAAATAATCTTGGCGTTCTTTAGATTTTACAGGGAACCTTTGAATTTTTGTGGTGGCGATGGAAACGAAAACGACGACAAGTAATTAGATGATGATGCAATATTTCGATGAATTATTGAAGCAAATGATGAATTTTCTAAAAATAATGGAAATGAAATTGAATAGAAATGATGAATTTTCTGGTGATGGTTATAGGATTTGGTGGAAATTTATGAGAAGAATAAAGAGGGTGGGCGGTAAAGGAGATGGTAAATAGGATTTTGTAATATTTTTTTTTTATAAATTAAATGTCTTTTTCTTTTCCTTTTTTAATAAAAATTACACATATCAATTTTTTATTTGTCACCTTTTCATGTCATATGCAATTGTAACTCATGCTCTAAGCTTAACACAGGGGTGTCCACGAGACACACCCTGTACCTAGGGGTGTACGTATGAATTATTGTAAGCGGTGTCAAAATTATAAAAGTACAAGAATAACAACTTCAATTATCATACTTCTAGACAAGAAATATTCTTAATCTATCGGTTTTGTTAGTTTTAAGTTAGAAAAGATTTTGCGTTCAATTCTACTTCATCACAATTTTTAACCGTACAAACTCTTTCAAATATTTGCAAAATAGTGTGCTTGTTGAGGTTTGAAATTCTAACCTAATAGAGCAAAATAAAACATATAATCAATGCAACAAGAGACAATTAATGTCAAGTGATGTCATTTTTTCCTATTTAACCATTTTCTCATATTGTTAATATATATATTTAGTAAAAGAATTCGACGAAGTGGTGTCGCGTGACACCGCTTCACCAAGAGTGCATCCGCCCCTGCCTGCCCCAAGTTGAAGTGTCTACTTAATCATTAACAGTTGGAGCATCAGATAGACATCTTAGATCAACTTTAAGTATCTCTTTATGTATTTTGTCAATAATTTAATTTTAAACTTTTGATTTTATATTTAATAAAAGATTTATAATTACACAAACATTTTAGGCCATAAGTTTTACATTTTTTAATAATGGTGCATTTCAAGAAAGCGCTCACTGACATGAAGTACACAAAATGAAAAACGCCTCTGTTTTTTTTCCAAGCATAGGCGTACAGCAGCGGTCATCTTTCTCTGTATTTATTCTTCTGACTGTTGACAAGTCTTTAATCACTTTTGAATATAGACAGTGAAAAGAGCTTTCCTTGTCAAGGCCATCATTTTTCAGCTATGGGGTAATCCTAAAAAAGCTAACTGTGGTAAGTTAAATTTTTATCGTTTTCTTATTTTAATAAGTGCGTATTAGTTTTACACTTCGTTTGGTACGGAGTATAAGAATAGTGCGGAATAAAGTGTATTAGTGTTGCATGGATTAGTAATGCAAGCATTAGTTATGCATATATTATTTCTTGTTTACTGTTTGACGTGGTGTATTAAAATTATAATGCATTTCATAATTTTTAAGAAAAATAGTTGTTTACAAAAATGCCCTCCATATTCTCTAGCTTTAAGGGACTTTAAAGACAATTTTGTCTTTAAGCATACTAATGCATGCATTAATAGCCTTGATATTACTAATGCTATGGTTTTCTATGTATTACTTATACAAAGGACAATACCAAGAATGATGTATAACTAATGCAAGTATTAGTTATACACAAGTTGAAAAAATGTATCAAACAAAGTATTAATAATGCATAGAATTAATGTTTGCATTGTTTTTTCTAATACCTCCTACCAAACGACGTTAAGCGTTGTAGTTATGTATGTTTGATTCAAGATTGTAATTTTTTGCTGAACTTCACAATGAAGCTAGGGTTTTCTTGACAACAACAACAATATACCCAGTAGTATCCCACCATGGGATCCAGTGAGGGTAGTGTATTAGTGAATATGCAATCTTGTGAGGATATAGAGGTTATTTCCAATACACCGACTTAGGAAAGCATAAGCACCACATTAATGGAAATATATACCTTTCATGAAATGAAATTGTTTTTAAGTTTGTAATGTTATCAGCCTTTATAGTTCAACTGCTCTCTCATTTTAGCCAAATGCATTAGTTTTATAGATGTATTCTTGTTGTTTCACCCTGTAAAGTCGTTTGGTACATGAGATAAGAATAATATTCCGAGATTAAGTTTGAGATTAACTTTATACTATGTTTGGTTTGTGATATTAGCTAATCTCGGAATAACTTTTACAGTAAAATGGTGGGATTAATTAATAGTTATCCTACTTAGAAGGTGTGATAACTAATCCAATGAGATATCCCACCATTGTACCAAACGATCCCTATTGGACAAAGTTACTTTTGCTGCTTGGAGGTCGTAGGTGAAATAATCGAGGTGCGTCCAACTTGGATGAGACACCACTTTTATCGGGAAAAAGAAAAAGAGGGAGGAAAGGAAAAAGAGGAAGGAAAAACTGAATGATAAATTAAGTTCTTTATTTGGTTTGATTGAACAAACGGTCCGAGGAAGGGCTGCACCCTAGGGGTGTGATGTACACATCCTCTCTGGTAAGATTGTTGAAGTGCGGTAATCTTGTATAGTCACTCATCGCTGCAAATCTCCTTATATATTTTTGTTTTTTTGAGGTATAAACAAGACGAAGGGATTGTTTTCCCTTTGTTTACTTTCTTCCTTACACTATTTTGAGATGGGAAGATATTGTGATTAAAACATCTATTGTATTTTGTAATGGTGAAGGATTCTGGCAAGTTAGGATCCCCTTCCTTTTTTAGGTTCAATTAATTTATACATAAAGGATCTTCTTCTAGTAAAAATTAGGTTAGTGCAGATGATGAGATTTCTACATTAATATCCAATCCTATTAGTTTTTCTGTAATAACGGTGGTGTCCGGACTTAGGCGCATATCGACTATTCTACCAGGTAATGTACCCGGTACCGATCTACTATGGCTTAGACTTAGACAAATGAGAAGAGATCACCAATGTATTTTGTCCCTGCTGGAATCTGAACCTTGATATCGAAGCTTTTCACTCACTTCATCGATCACTAAGCCACATCATTGGGTTCCAACCCCCGTTAGTTCAAAATTCAAGTTTGCACACTATTATGAGAAGTAATGACATCATATCCATGTCGTGTAAAGTATGACAAGTTTGTACAACCTCTGAAAATTATGGCTTGATTTTAGTGGATAATTAACACAAGACTCCCTTTGTTCCACTAATGAGTTTCATGGGTAGCACTATAGGCCATTTTCATGTATGCATTTGGGATAGTGGAATAACCATTTAACAAAAGCTAAATGGATGAAGTTTCCTAAAGAAATGAGGTAACATGACTTTTATTTATCTGCTGCTAAGTTTCAGAATTTTGAAGATTATACAAATGGTTTAGACCAACTTCTTGAAAGCAGTAGCATTTCCACGCACATTCTCAATGTTAATTTAATGTTAGATAAATATCTGTTGCAGTTTGTGTTATTTAATTTTTTTTTCTGACAAGCATATAATGTAGCAGGTTGTTTAATCTGAGAACAGATTATGATGTGTTTGGATGGGGTCCCGGGAGCCTCAGATGTGTTTCGGACGAGTTTGTGTGCAGTTGATTGAAATTGGGCTCGCAGCATATCTCTCCCATGTGTCCTTGTTTTCACCTTAAAGTTTAAATAAGTCAATTTATAACCTGTTCAAATCTGCAGGTTTTTGCCTGAGGTGTTTTGAATCTTTTTCTTCTTAACTTGGTTCGCTGCATATTGAAATGGCGAAAGAAAAAAGTGCATGCTTAGGTAATGAAGTTTCCCAGCCAAAGAAAAATTTGACAAAGAAAATGCAAGAGTTGAACGATGAAGTCCATGCTTTAAGACTACGTTTCGTCCAGAGCTCTCTCCTCTTTACCCCTTAGCTGAAGGAGAGAAGCTACTTCTACACTCCGTGGAACCTGATTGGTTCAAAGGTAAGACTCTGTGGTCATGGCCTTCTGCAAGTAGAAACTGGATTGATTGGGTAGATAGAGTTGAGAAGGCCAAAGGAGAGGTCTGGAAATCAGCTGGAATATATGATGCCATTCAGTTGTCCAAGAATGATATCCCCATCGACAAAGATCTTCTTTATGCTGCCTTGTGCTATTGGTCAATCTCCACAAACTCGTTCCACTTCAGATTTGGTATGATGGGGCCAACAGTACTCGATATTGTTGCCTTGACAGGACTTAGGCCACATGGCGAGGAAGTCAGTGCCATTCTTGGGATGTCTGAATCGGCTTGTGATATACTCAAGTATGGAAATATTTATAATAATTCCTTATTTCACCCCAAATATCTCAATGTGTCAAAGGGAGAAATGGCTGTGACAGAGGAAGAGCATGTATCTTTTCTGTTTGCGTGGCTCAGCAATCATCTGTTTTGTGACTCTTCTGTAAACATGATCAAGCAATGCACAAAACTGGCATTTGCTCTTGCTGCAGGTAGAAAGATTGCTTTGGCGCCCTTTCTCTTGTCTAATTTATATCGTGGATGCGCTTACATATTTAATGCAAAGTTTCAGTATGAAAGAGGTCCATTCTGGATCTTGCAGTTCTGGCTACAGTCTTACATTCCAGAATTTCGGCCTGCGACCTTGGATTACAGTAATGCTCCAACCTATGGGTTTCCCTTGGCTGAAGGTGCATTGAGATATAAATCATTCAAGGAATACTTTAACTTCTTTTTTAAATGCTCATCTAGAACAGCCAGCCAATTCACCCCATTTTCTTCTCGGAAGTTTGGACCTGAGTGGTTTAAGAAGTCACTCGATCCTGACTTCCAAAAACCTAATAGGGCAGAGCTACAAGACATTTGGGCCAGTTATCTCATTTCTCGAGATCTCCCTTACAGAGTCCTTCTCGATGAATCTTCGAAGTGCAAATGTGAGGTAGAACGTTATTCTCCAAATCAGATTGCTCGACAGTTTGGCATGACTGGGTCCAGCCCCTTAATCTAAAGGAAGTTGTTTTCTTCCTTTCTTCCTCATTTTCAAAGTTGGCACGTTTCTCATTTTTCTGTCAAAAATGACATGCTGCAGAAGTTGAAAGGTCAAGATTGGTAGACATATTTTGCCTATAAAATGAGAGCTTCGGCTCTCATTCTTTCATCACAATTTCAGAGGAAAATATATCTGAGAGCTAGAAAGAAAGAGTGAGGTTTCACAAACAGGGTATAAGAAAATAGTCTGTGAAGAAAATAGAGAGTGTGAGCAATATTGTAATGAGGTGAAATATCAAAAGAGGGTTATTTCTTTTGAGTATTGTAGTGGTCTTTGTAGTATTTTACTCGGGCCTACAAAATGTAAATTCCTTACTATAGTGATATCAGTTGCTCCTCTCGGGGTCGTGGTTTTTCCCTTATTCAGAAGGGTTTTCCACGTAAAAATTTTGGTGTCATTGTTACTCTTTTATTCTTGTTAATTACCGTATCTCGGTGCTACATTATTATTCCGCTTTTATTACCGTGAATATTATTTTGGTAGGGGGTTTATTCCCAACAACTGGTATCAGAGCACAGGTTCTGCTCGTTCACTGAAATACTATTCACTGTCGGTACTACTATACTTGGTGAAAAATAAAAATGTTTGGAGTAAAGTACGAGGTAGCAAAATTCAACGGAGATAACGGTTTCTCAACATGGCAAAGAAGGATGAGAGATCTGCTCATCCAACAAGGATTACACAAGGTTCTAGATGTTGATTCCAAAAAGCCTGATACCATGAAAGCTGAGGATTGGGCTGACTTGGATGAAAGAGCTGCTAGTGCAATTAGGTTGCACTTATCAGATGATGTGGTAAATAACATCATTGATGAAGACACTGCACGTGGAATTTGGACAAGGTTGGAAAGCCTATACATGTCCAAAACGCTGACAAATAAATTGTACCTGAAGAAGCAGTTATACGCCCTACACATGAGTGAAGGTACGAATTTTTTGTCACATTTAAATGTGTTTAACGGACTAATCACACAGCTTGCCAACCTCGGAGTGAAAATCGAGGAAGAAGATAAAGCCATCTTGCTATTGAACTCGTTGCCATCTTCGTACGATAATTTGGCAACAACCATCCTGCACGGTAAGACTACTATTGAGTTGAAAGATGTCACATCGGCTCTTCTACTCAATGAGAAGATGAGAAAGAAGCCTGAAAATCAAGGACAGGCTCTCATCACAGAAGGTAGAGGCAGGAGTTATCAAAGGAGTTCGAACAACTATGGTAGATCCGGAGCTCGTGGGAAGTCAAAGAACCGATCCAAATCAAGAGTCAGAAATTGCTACAACTGTAATCAACCAGGTCACTTCAAAAGAGATTGCCCAAATCCAAGGAAGGGCAAAGGTGAAACCAGTGGCCAGAAGAATGACGACAACACAGCCGCCATGGTGCAAAATAATGATAATGTTGTCCTCTTTATAAATGAGGAAGAGGAATGCATGCACCTGTCAGGTCCAGAGTCGGAATGGGTGGTTGACACAGCGGCATCTCACCATGCCACACCGGTAAGAGATCTTTTTTGCAGATATGTAGCAGGTGATTTCGGCACAGTGAAAATGGGTAACACAAGTTACTCAAAGATTGCGGGGATTGGTGACATTTGTATCAAGACAAATGTCGGATGCACATTGGTTCTAAAGGATGTGCGGCATGTACCTGATTTGCGGATGAACTTGATCTCGGGAATTGCTTTAGACCGAGATGGATACGAGAGTTATTTTGCAAATCAAAAGTGGAGACTCACTAAGGGATCATTGGTGATTGCAAAGGGAGTTGCTCGTGGCACGTTGTACAGGACAAATGCAGAAATATGCCAAGGTGAATTGAACGCGGCACAAGATGAGATTTCTGTAGATTTATGGCACAAAAGAATGGGTCATATGAGCGAGAAGGGATTGCAGATTCTTGCCAAGAAATCACTCATTTCTTATGCCAAAGGTACAACTGTAAAACCTTGTGACTACTGTTTATTTGGTAAGCAGCATAGAGTCTCATTTCAGACATCGTCTGAAAGAAAATTGAATATACTTGATTTAGTATATTCTGATGTTTGCGGCCCAATGGAAATTGAATCAATGGGCGGTAACAAATATTTTGTTACTTTTATTGATGATGCTTCACGAAAATTATGGGTTTATATTTTGAAAACCAAAGATCATGTGTTTCAAGTTTTCCAGAAGTTTCATGCTCTAGTAGAAAGGGAGACGGGTCGAAAGCTAATGCATCTCCGAAGTGACAATGGAGGTAAGTACACTTCAAGG